ATGTGGAGGAACAATTAGACAACATTTTTTGCTCTCTGGGATGACTCTCCTTATACCCAAACACAGTAGTCCATAATGAATTTAAAAGCTCTTCTGATCACAGTATGCTTCTCCTTAATTCCAATCCAGAAATCAAGCCACAAAAAAAAAAGATTCTTCTTTGACCAAAGATGGATTCACAGAGAGGATGTCACTGAGGTGGTCTCTAAAGCATGGAACCTTTATCAATCAGGCACACCAATGTTCTGCTTCCAAGAAAAGATCAAAGGGGTAAGGCTTCATCTCCTAAAATGGAGCTGCAAGTTTAAAACTGAGTCTGCCAAAAAGATTGAGAGCTTGCACAGACAACTAGCTGAATTGAGGTGGGAAGGAGGACTGAGGGATTTGCACAGATGGGATTCTATCCAAAAGGAGCTGAATAAATTGTACAAAGATGAAGAACAATTCTGGCAACAGAAATCAAGAATCTCCTGGCTAAAATATGGAGACAAAAATACTAAGTTCTTCCATGCCCAGACTACTCACAGAAGAAGAAGGAACAAAATCACAAGACTTATTAATGATGACTCTACAGTCTGTGAATCTCTGGATGAAATATCCCAGTGCATTGAGGAGTTCTACAATAATCTTTTCTCTACTCAAGGTCCTTCTGGGACTGATCCTGTTTTGGATGAGATATCTCCTGTCATTACTGAGGCTATGAACACTGATCTCACTGCCAATGTTGATGAAGAAGACATTAGAACTGCTCTTTTCTCTATCTCCCCTCAGAAAGCTCCTGGCCAAGATGGTATGACCTCTCTTTTCTTTCTACATTTTTGGGATATCATTAAGAATGACCTCTGTGCTCTTGTGTATAGTTTCTTTCAATCTGGAAAAATCTTAAAAAAGTATCAATCACACTCTCATTTCTTTAATTCCTAAGGTGCAGAATCCTGATAGGATATCACAATATAGACCAATCAGTCTATATAGTGTTACCTATAAGGTCATTTCCAAAGTCTTGGCATCCAGATTAAAACCTATTCTCCCTCTCTGTACCAGTGACTCTCAGTCTGCTTTCATATCTAAGAGAAATATCCTTGACAATGTTATACTAGCCCATGAAGTCACTCACTTTCTTAAAAACCATAGATCAGGAAGCTCTTGTTACATGATGATTAAATTGGATATGTCTAAAGCATTTGACAGGGTTGAATGGTCTTGTGTTAGGAACATCATGCTTAAGATTGGCTTTCATGACTCTTTTGTTAAGTGGATTTTGGCTTGCCTTAACTCTGCCTCCTTCTCATTTAATGTCAATGATTCAATGCGTGGTTATGTTATTCCCTCTAAAGGAATCAGGCAGGGAGACCCCCTGTCTCCCTACATTTTTTTTGTTGGTATCTCAGATCCTCTCTTTAATTATTAACAGCTTTGTTGAATTATGGGACTACAAAGGCATTAAAATCTGCAGAAACAGCCCCACCCTTACTCACATTATGTTTGCAGATGATACCCTCATCCTTTCCAAAGCAGACCCCTCCCAAGCACAACTCATTCTCAAAATTCTTAACCAATACAATGCCATCTCAGGGCAATGTGTTAACTTGCAAAAATCCTCAGTCCTGTTTAGCAAAAACACTCCTCAGTCCTCAGAGACAATATTTGCCAAATCTTAATGGGAATACAGCCACACAGCTCATCCAAATACCTTGGCCTTCCCCTTGGGATAGGCAAATCAAAACTTGACACCTTCTGCTATATTAACCAAGCAGTCCAAAGCAGATTATCAAAATGGCAAAACACATTCCTCTCTCTTGCAGGTAAGGAAATCCTCTTGAAGGCTGTGCTGGAAGCCCTTACTATTTATGCAATGTCATGCTTCATGTTTCCCAAAGCTACCTGTGAAAAATTGGCCAAGAGTTTTGCTGATTTCTGGTGGCAAAAGCAAGAAACAAAGATCCAAGGGCATTCACTGGAAATCATAAAACAAATCACACTGCCCAAGAGCAAAGGTGGACTGGGATTCTATGACATCCATCTTATGAATAAAGCATTAGTATCCAAGCAACTCTGGAGGATTCATTCTCAACCAGAGCTACTGGTAAGCAAGGTCATCAAGTCTAAATACTTTCCCAACTCAACCATTCTTCTTGCTAAAGCTCAGTCAAATTCCTCATGGCTCTAGGCAAGTTGGAGGAAAACCTTGGCATTCTTCAATGATAATGTCCTCTACAAGGTAAACAAGGGCTCTGATATTTTAATCTAGGACCATCATTGGATCCCTTCTTTATCCACACACAGGCTAAACAGATGCAATCCATAGAAGCATAGATTATCAAAGGTCCAGGAGCTTTTGGATGATACAGGCAGGAGATGGAATGTTGACTTGGTCCTCCAATGCTTCCCCCCAACTGAAAGTGCTGCCATCCTCAGTATCAAAGGTATGGACCCTCTGCTAGAAGACAGACTCACTTGGGCCCATTGCAAATCTGGAGAACTCTCTGTTGCTGAAGTTTATAGAGTGCTAGTAGAGGAAAAATGGAACAAGCTTGATGTTCCAGAATGCAGCTTGATAACCAAGGAGGTGCAAACAGCCAGAATGAGGATGTGGTCCTTGAAAATCACAGGGAAACTCAAGCATTTCTTGTGGAGATGTTTCACACACGCTCTCCCTGTCAACCTAAATCTCCACAAGAGAATTAAATCTATTGACCCGGTGTGCAAAATATGTGGTGCTGAGCTAGAGACTGTTGAACATCTTTTGTTCCATTGTCCTATATCACAAACAGTCTGGAAACTAGCTGCTATTGACTGAGAGGGCATAAAAGAGAACACTTCTGATTTTACACATTGGTGGATAAAGCTAAGCACACTTAAGAGAAATGCCATGTCTGATAGAAGGCTTCATTTGAAAATCTTCCTCCTTTGGTGGATATGGAAAGCCCGCAACCAATGGGTTTTCCAAAATCACTGGCTCCCTGAATTCACAATAACCCAAACTGCTTTATCAGCTTGGAAAGAAGCTAATTTTTTGGTCAAGCCTTGATCCTGGGGCTGTTAGATGCTTTTTTTTTTAGGATTGCTGGCTGTTAGATGCATTTGGTCAAGCCTGTTAGATGCATTTTGATCCTTTTGTTGTTTTTGCTTGGTTTGGTTGTTTATAGTGGTAGGCTAGCTAGGTCCTTTGGTTCAGTGGCTAGTCTATCTTTTTGTGGATGCTTTTCTTGTATTAGCATTACCATTTCACTAACCTATCTAGGTCTCCATGACTTCTGCTCATGCCAAGTATAGGTTACTGAAATGGATTTTTGCTCTTTTGGTTAGATCACCATTGTTGGTGGTTCTGTCATTCTGCTTCGCTGCAGCTATCGTAAATACTCTGTCTTTCGATTGTTATAAAATCTATCGTTGTGAAAAAAAAATGATTTAATTTAAAAAAAAAATTATTTCTTTGTATACAACATTCAAGGTTTCCTATCGTCGGAATCACCATCGCCACATATCATTATCTTCAAACTCTTCCAATTTGTGACTGTAGAAAGAGCCATGTACAACTGTCCATGACTGAAAACAGGGTTCTTCAAGACTAAATCGACGCGTGTGAGCGACTGGGTCTTGACTCTTGTTGATCGTCATAGCATAGGACACCATGATTATGTGTTTGATAGCAGATTTTGAATGCAACATTCAGAGATGTTTAATAGCAGATTTTGAATTTTTAAGAGTATTATGTGTTTTTGCAAAAAAAAAAAAAAAATTAAACCAAAAAGGAATTATATTTCAGCTTTAGACATAAAGTAAATTAGATTATGAATAATTAATTCACACACTTTTTATTCATTATTTAAGACATTAGAACAAAGAAAATAATATATATATATATATATATATATATATATATAGACATGATTTCTCCACCCACGTGTATATACAATTAATTGTATGATTATAGCATGATGTTATGATAGTGTGATGTATATTACAAATTAGGGTAATTTTTTTTTTCAAATTTTTTGTTATTTGTTGCTTTTGTTTAATGATATCACATTTTATAATAATCGTTATTTAAAGTGATAGTATGACATTTAATAATAATAGCTAATATTGCCTTTGTTAATTTATTTACTGTTATTTTGCAGGTACAATAGCAACAAAAGATTGGAGATTGATATTTATTTCAATTTAAATATGTAATTTTGTAATTTAATTTATTTTTTTATTATTTGCAACTAAAATGATTATATATCAATGCTTACACATTTTATGTCTAATAATTCAAATAAAATGCATGATTTGAGGTTGTAATTTAATTCAAAAATAGAAGATAATTGTTTCAATATAATATGACATATGATCAAATGCTGAAAATTTTGGAGGGATAATATAATTTAATGCTGAAAATTTTGGAGGGATAATGAAATTAAATGCTCAAATTTTGGAGGGATAATATAATTAAATGCTAGGTAATATAATTTAATGTTTTGTTGCTCCAAATTATATATATAGATAATAACAACATTAAAATTTATGCCCGCTTTTACTATTTTACATGTTCTACGGTGCACTACTGCAGTTTTCTGGCGTTTCTTTTAATATTTTCGTTCAATTTTGTAGTTTTCATTGGCGTTGTTTGCACCGTTCGCTAGCTCGACTGCTGAAGAACCCTAGAATTTGCTTCACTACAGATCCAAAGAAAAGGATGAAAAAGCATTTCACGAAACAACGTAGGATGTCTGAATTAACTAATACCAACCACAAAAGACACTTTGAGAGCTATTCTAAAGTATCCAACATTGGTAGTAAATAGGATATAAGTGTTGTTCAGTAGAGTAGGATAGGAGGACATATATATATAAAGGAGAATCCAATCTCCCTATTTATTACATTCTTGAGGTGAATTTTGTTCCTGTTTTGACACTATGAACAGTGTACCTCCATTGTTCATTTATTCAAAAGGTGAAAATACATAAAGCAAAACACTATTCTTGTTCATCAAGAGTTCATAGCAGGTAAAATTAGAAGGCTTTTCTAGTGATGTTGATTGCTATAACACTCCTGACTGTGTGCTTTTCTGATTCCCAGAGCAAGAAGCCTTGTGAAAAAGATTCATTATTCTCCCAACCGGTCATGTTCTTTCTGCGGTGAAACGTCACATAGTACGTCGCCTTCTGCTTCAATTTCGTGAAACACATCCTCGATGGCCTCACAACGACATTCACACCGAGGGGCTCGACTATGCTCATGGAGTAGCACGATACGGGCTCGCCCACGTTGGTGACGGTCCGAGAGAAATTCTGGGGCGAGCCGAGCGAAGCCGAGAACGTGGGGTAGTTCAGCTGGCCCTGAGGGATTTTCGACGAGCAATTGACTGGCTCCTGCGTGATCATCTCGACCTGGCTCTCCGTGTATCCAAAGCCGCACAGATCCAACGCCCTGTTTGGGTTGATGTGGCCGGCCCCCGTCGCGTAGATATTGGCCGGAGTAAGTTTCTCGTCGAGAATCGGTTTGCCGTGGGGGTTGACGAGGTACGCAGTGGTCATGATAGCTGATTTCACAGCCGCTGCCGACCAGTCAGGATGGGCGCTCTTGATCAAGGACGCGACCCCACTGATGTGAGGACACGCCATCGACGTGCCTGAATCGATTGCAAATGTGATCCCCAAATTATCCGGGTTCAAAGGAGACCACCCAGCAAGAATGTTTTCGCCCGGCCCAATGATATCCGGTTTCAAAACCCCGGGAGCTTGCCTGTTGGGCCCCCTAGACGAGAAATAGGAGACAACTGGAGAAATCGGGTAACCGAGCTCCGTCCCCTTGAACGAGATTGTTGCTGTCGGGGAGGATGTTGACGTTATGTAGGCCTTGATTTCCTGGCCCACCGTAAAGGACACCGTCGTGGATGGTAAGTCGACTAGATAAGACTCGCGGCTAAACCCGACATCTTCAGTGTTGGCCAGTATCATGGCGGTACCACCGACATTCTTAACTTCTTCGGCTGATGAAGTTATATCATCTCCGTCGCACAACACGATCTTGTTCCTGACATCGAACCCGACCAGTGACCCATTGTAGCACATGTTGTAGTAGACGAGTTGCAAGAAGTTATGAGAAGAGAAGTTTTTGGGCTGGAACACAGACTCCCCGTCGAACGCCAACCCATTTCCCATCTTCGCCGTGGCCCGAATCCTTCGGTCGATCGTGCTTGCCCCGACAGTGAGAAGCCAGGGCGTGTCGTTGATCACCGTCCAGGCAGAAGGACCATTGTTCCCCGCTGCCACGCTGGTGAGGATTCCTTTCTTGGCCGCTGCGAAACCGCCAATCGCTATAACGCTTTCGTAAAATGGTTTGAACACACCGACCAAGGATATGGACAACAAGTCCACCCCATCCTCGATGGCAGCGTCGATACCGGCCAACGTGTCGCTTGCTTGGCAGCCAGCAAAGCAGACTTTGTACGCCGCGAGGTGAGCGCGTGGGGCCACCCCGGATGCGGTCCCGCGCGCGTTGCCTTGGACACTGACGTTGTGTACGAATGCCCCGACAGCTATGCTGGCCGTGTGGGTCCCGTGTCCATACCTGTCCACCGGCAAGGCGGAGACATTTCCCCCTTTGAACGCCCTAGCGCCTATGACTTTGTTGTTGCAACCAAACTTCTCAGGCAGGTCGCACCTCCCCTTCCAGCTGGTAGGCTGGGGCGACATGCCGGAGCCATTGAACGAGGGGTGGCCTGGGGCTATCCCGCCGTCAATGAGCCCGACGACAACTCCATCGCCGAGACCCGTCTGCGGCCAGGCTCCGCTCCACTGGTTCAGCCCGAGGAATGCTGGGGAACGGGTCGTCAGCGGATGGGATGTACTATCTGGGAGGATCGAGATAAAGTCTTCTTTCTTCTTGATGATTTCGACTTGTTTGGCTGTTAGTCTTGCTGAGAATCCACTTATGGCGTACATGTACGAGTAGATCAGGGAGTCTTTAGCTCCCTGGGGAAGAAAAGACATGTGATAGTTCTTGATCGTGTCTTCGGTTTCGACACCGCCGATCGAGCTTGGGTTCTTCTTCTTCACGTGGACAATGTAAATTTCGGCTTTGTTGTCGTCGAGGGCCGACGACACAACAGAGAGGAGGAGGAGGAGCGAGAAGAAGACTATGGGTATGAGTGTGTAAAATAAATTAAGGGGAAGAGCCATGGTTTTGGATTTTTAGTGAAACTACTGGTGTGCCTTTCTTAACCCTTGAACTGCATCTATTTATAAACTATAGGAATATGGTGAGGGTGAAGCAACTATATTAAGGAAAATGATGCTTTTGACTTTAGAGAAATATTGATATACAAATTGACATTGGAGAAACATTGATATACCGCTCTATATAAATGTTGGCGCGATATAGAGTTATATGATTAAGTTACTTATTTTAAAGATGGTGTGAAAGGTAAAAAATGTACATTGTATTACAAACTTCGATATATCGTACAGTAAAACCAAACGTACTGTTGAATAAGTCGTAGAAATTTTAAAATAATTGTAGGTAATATCATTACTTTACTCTTTTTAACTATTTTAACGAAACTTTAGAATATTATTAAACAAATCATATGTCTACATATTTGCAACCAGTACTTAAATTCTGCCCGTGGTGATATTTTTGTCAGTGTGTCCGACTTAGCACTTACATGGACAAATTTTTTAGGTGATATTGTATCTATTTAACGACGTGGTCAAAAAATAAAAATTAAGAGAGTAAAATCAAAGGGTATTTAATGAAATAGGAATAGTTCAAGAAGGCAGTGTCGCGGCTAGTGCGAGGCTTTTCTCGGCGGGGCTACCAGTGGCGGTGCGGCCATGTGACTGCTGTCGGTGGATGGTGGCCCTGCTCTTCTGCGTCGTCGACTCTGCCTTTATGTGCATCGCCTGCAACGTCGGATCGTGTTTGGTCTGTGAGCAAGCCCCCCACCTCCGTCACTTGCCGGACGAATGTTGCGCGCTCTCAACGCCGCTTGCGACCACGACATCCACTCTGCCAACCTCTTCATTGGCTGCCACGACCGTATCCTGTTGGTCCTCATTCATGACACGACAGAGTCTTCCCTTATGAGGTCTGCTGTCTGTGTACTGCCGCTGGCGGTCGATGACGGTAACATACCGTGTCGTGGATCGACAGACTGCAGGATGTGGGGGGACGATGATCTGAAATCCATCGAGCTATTATTTCAAGACTTGGACCAGTTCCTTGATTTCGACTAAAATAATAATATAATGAAAAATTGTGACAATTTAATATAAATATAATCTGAATTTTAAAGCCGAATAATAGAAATCATGTTAGGTGGGAAAATATAATTTTAGATCTTTATATGTATTAATACTTGGTTTTTATTTTACATTAATACCTTCAATTTATTAAATTAAATAAAAAATTTAAGAGATTAAGTTTTCAAGTGTCATCAAACCATTGTAATTTTATCATGCCACATCATTTTCGGACCAATCATATAATTAAAATGGTAATATATTGGACTAAATTTAATCACAACATTATAAAGTGCAATATTATGTAAGTTGGCCTAATCAGCTATTGCATGTCATTAATCTAAATAATTACTATTTTTAACAAATTTTTTTGACATAATGATGTGTAAGTTATGAACAATAGATTTTTGACATGTCATTAATCTAAATAATACTAAATTTAATCATAACCTTCAGTTTTTTTATTTCCTTTTCCCGGTTTTAGATGTATGTATGTGCATTTTATCAAACTTTTTAAGTTGTTTGTTTTTGTTTGGAATGAGATCTCCTATCGTTTAAAAAAAAAAGTAAAGATATTGCAAATAAAAACACACACACACATATGGCATTTGAAATTTTACTAATATGGATATTTATATGTAAATAATTCCAAGATCATACATCTTACTTTGTGATTTGAATTGCAACAAATGAAAAAAGGTTTAGCTAAATTTATAATTTTATAAATTTTGTATTTTTTTGCAATTGAAAACTGACAAGTTGACAATTTTTGTCACATACGATAACACATCAACATGCATGTTTCAGTGATTCGTTTTGCAACGAACCAACAAATCCCTAGACATTATTGCAATTTTGAAAAAGACATTTTTAATTGCAAAATGAAAACTGACATCTATTTTTTTTAGCAATTGGATCTATTAAATATTGGTCATTCTAATCACGCCCTGTGCTATTTGAAATGATGTCTTCTTAGAATTCATATTGACACAGCATATACATGGTTGAATCATATAAGTAGTACAATTTCCTTGATTTTCATACAAGTTGACAATTTTTTTCACATACGGTAACACATCATATACACCTACCGAATGAGATTTTAGAGATCGATCTCTATTAAATAATAACCTTACTCAAATAAATAGTTTTCGTGTGACTAATTTTTACTGCTATTAATTTTTTTGTATTTAAAATTTGTAAAAAAAATGTGTTACATATAGAATTAGATCTTTGTGTGTGCATCTAGTAAAAAAAGAATAAGAAAATAGTTTTATGATTTTCTACTTGATTCGATTGTAACTAAATATAAATAATTTATATTTGATAACTAATAATTTGGGAATGTTTAATTCAAAATAACCTAAAACTCTCTCTGAGAGCGGTCTCTGAATTCTCTTGGCTGAGAGCGTCACATGACCTGAAATCTCTCTATTTTCGGCATATTTACCCTTCTTCATTTGATTTCCCATATACCTCTCTCTCTCTTTTGATCCCCTCCGGCATTAATTGGGCTCTGCCCCTTCTAGTATCTAGGGTTATGATCAATAGATGATCGATTTAGGGAAAGTCAAGATGAAGAATTATCTCAAAGATTAAAGGGGTTTTCTCTTTCTGAAAGAGAGTCAAAGGTAAGCGATATAGCCCTGATGACATACACTTGAGTGCTGATGAATGTCATCGAAGCCTCTTTGGGAAAATTTTCGGTGACCGGAAATCCAGTTGGATAGGTGCCAAGCGGGCAATGAGGCAAATATGTAAACTTACTCAGTCGGTGGAAGTTAAGGAGCTTGGGCCAAACTACTTCCAGTTCATCTTCTAGAATCGAGAAGACTTTCAAAAAGTGGCAGGTGGTACAAACTGGAGCTTTGAGAACCAATATCTTATTTCTCATAATGGAAAGATGACCTATCCAATAAGCATCCACGTTTCAAAGAGCTTCACATATGGGTCCAGATATTAAATGTGCCACTAAACTGGCTCAATTTATGGTTCAATTTATCATGAACTCCCTACCTTTTGAGTTTGGCCAATCCTAGATGAACTATAACACCATTAAACATAAATGGGACTGTAAGAAAATTAAGGCTATGCTGGTGCAGGAAGAGGTGAGAATAAAAGAGATGAAAGAAGAGTCGATTCACTTTATATCTCATGAAAGAGCCAATAATATTAAGATAAAGGGGGAAATAAAGGCAAATAACAGGAGATTGACTTACTTAAAGTCCTATAGGTCCAATCATTAAAGAAAGGCAGTGTTGTTTCTGTAAAAGTTGTGTCACCTCAAGAAAGATTGCCCAAAATAAAATCTTAATTCGAAAATAAAGATATACATTAAATTTATGTATGTTGTGAATTAAATTTACTAAAGATTCCCAATGATTCTTGGTAGCTTGATTTTGTCAAACGTAGTGCACATAATAAAGATATTGCTCTCTTATGGCATCAAATATTAAGTCACATCTCTGAAGAAAAGTTTTGAGAATGGTGAATAACCATTTCTCATTTGGATTTTAGTGATCAAAATGTATGTGTAGGATGAATTAATGAAAATCAAACTAGACATACATTAAAGAGATATGCCAATAGAAGCACTAAAATCTTATAGCTTATGTACACTAATTTCTTTGTGGTCTATTCGACGTCCCTCATGGGGTGATGTAAAATATTTAATCATCATTATAAATGATTTCTCACGTTATGGTTATATTTATCTACTACGTGAAATGACTCGATCATTGGACTATCCAAAGATATACATTGATGAGATGGAAATGTAGTTAGATAAATAAGTAAATGTTGTGAGATCTCTCTAGATTGGTGATTATTATTGTAAGTTCAATGAAAGAGGATAATGTCCAAGTCTATTTTCAAAGTTTCTTGATATTTGAAATATTTTTTTGCAATACACTATAATTGAGACTCCTCAACATAATGGTGTTGCTGAGAGGATAAATCGTACTTAAAGGATATGGTTAAGAGCATGTTAAGCCATTCAACATAACGTTTTCTGTGTGGATGCATGCATTAGAGACTGTTGCATATTTGCTAAACCGGGTTCCTAGTAAAGTAACTATAGAAGGGTAAGAAACCTAGTTTAAGGCATCTTCATATTTGAGGGTGTCAAGCAGAAGTAAAAGTATATAATCCACATGAAAAGAAACTTGATCTTAGGACAGTCAATGGTGTTTCACTGGCTATCCAAAAAAGTTTAAATGATATAAGTATTATAGCCCTAACTATAGTACGAGAATAGTTGATTCTGGCAAATGCTCGATTCATTAAAAGTGATCAAATTAGTGGGAGTTTGGAACCGCAAAGTTTGGATGTCAAAGAAACTCGAGCTGAACAGTCCAAACCCGAGAGTCCATCAATGGTTGTTATTCTTTTAGCTACAATACCGTCATGTAATTTAGATGAATAACGAAATGATCCAAACTCACTTGATAATGAATCATCACAAGCAATCATGAATTATAGAATAACCTTTGTTGATGAATCTCAAGCCATGAAAAGTGGAAATTTTGGAAAAGTTGATCAATGCCATGAAAGAATAATTAAAGTCAATGGATGACAATAAAGTCTGTAATTGAGTAGAGTTACCTAAAGGGTCTAAGCCCAACGCGACTCTAATATCGAAAGATATAAAGTTAGATTTATTGCTAAAAGTTACACCCAAAAAGGAAGGCATTGACTACAAGGAACATTCTTCTCATTTCAAGAAAGATTCCTTGAGAATTGTAATGGTAATGGTGGCTCTGTATGATTTTGAGCTTTACCAAATGGACATAAAGATCACCTTCTAAACGGTAAACTTAAAAGGAGATATACATGAACTAATTAAAAGTTTTTGAGATCACAAGAAATGAAACGTGAGTGTGTAAGTAGATAGATCGATATATGGACTAAAAAAAGCCTCTCGTCAATGGTATCTTAAG